TGAACCTTTGGGCGGCGTTATGCAAATCTTCTCACATCGTGACGTAGACATGTGGGGTGTGTTAGAACGAGCCGTTTTAGGTAGGCGTGGTTAACTCTTAACTTTTATAAAGAATATCTCTTTGAATTTGAGACTTTAGTCTTTGCATCTTTACAGATCTTCTTTATGCACCAAGAGCTTGTAACACTCCAAAGAGAAAGGAAAAATTGAAATCGCATCATATGACCCATTTAAAATTTCTAATAAATTACAGTAGATATGAAATTCAATTTCTTGATATAAATGTTAAAAGGAGGGGAACACATTTAATATCTTCATTATATACTAAACCTACAGATAGAAATACACTTCTCCACGCAAATAGTTATCATCCGGTTGCCTTGTAAAAAGGTTTACCTATTAGCCACTTAACTAGAATTAAAAGGATCAGTGAAGATGATGATGAATTTGAGAAAGAGAGAAAATAATGTTAACATTTAAAGAAAGCAAGTATAAGTAAGATTGGCTATGTAATGCAGTTAAAAAAGTAGATCTTAAAAGTCAAGATATGCTTGTGAATTCTAAAAAAAAACATCTAATACTAATCCAGATCTTATCTTTTGTACTACATATACTCCAAAGACATTTTAAAATAATTATATTGAAGTACTGGTACATTTTTAAAGATTATCTAAACTTAATGGGATATTTAACTCTTTCCCCTCCAGCGTTTTTGAAAAAAGTTGCCAGCCACCGCCAGCATTTTTAATGATTTTCACTAACATTTCATGGCCCCCAGAATATTTTGTTTTATCTGAACATTAATTACTTATAAATATATACTTATATGAACCATTAATTACTTATAAAAGAGCTAGTAATATAAGAAATAGAGTTGCAAAAGTGTGTTCTACAAAACAAATTTCACAAAATACCCTTTTATTGGGCAATTTTAAATGTGGCAATTGTGTTAATTGTGAATTCACAAAAAATGTCAAATTTTTTTTTAATCATCTTGATAGCAAAAGTCCTGTTTTTATCAAGAGTTTTATAACATGTAAAACAAATAATGTGATTTATATAACCCAATGTTTTGTTGGTGAAACATCCCGTTCATTAAAAGAAAGGACAACAGAACATAAAAGTGCAATAAATAGAAAGGATCTGAAGATCAGATCAGCTTATGTGATCTAAAAAAGTCCTGTTGCAAGACATTTTTGTGAATGTAACCATAAAATGTCATATTTTTTCTTTCTTGGAACTGAAAAGGTTAAACAGAATATAAGAGGTGGTAACACTGATTGTGTAAGAAAGAAGTGGGAGACTTTTTGGATCTTTTATTTGAAAAAGTAAAAAAAGTTGAAATGTTTCCAAAAGGTATGAATGAGGATTTTTCTCTTAAAGAATTTTTGTGATGTGTTTTAAGTGTGTTGTATGACACTTTTTTTATGTGTAAGATATGTTAATCTGTTGTGGATCTACTCTGACTGAGTGATTGTTGCTCTTATTAATTATTGTAATGTCTTGAGTGAAGCTTGTCAGCTGTTGCTAATTTGTGAACGAGTAATCCAATATGGATATGTGCTTTTAAATGCTTATGTATTATGTGTGTTGAATACCCTGAGGAAGGCTCTTAGGACGAAACGTGATGGTATTTTTTTTTTATTATTACAGTTCCCTTCATCACAAGTGATGCTGGACTCTTTTTCATATATAGGTGTGTATAACCCATAAAGTAATTCAGATATACCGTACTGCGATCTGCATTTGTGATGTGACTGAAAGTTGTTTTTACAAATCCTTGAGTGATAAGATTCATATATCTATACCACAGTAGCTAATAAATGTGTGATGAGCAGCAACGCTTACACCTGTCAGAGATATGTTAAAATAAAATAGTTATGCATTTTAGACATTTACTGTTGACCATGCACTTGACATTACATTTTTCATTGGGAACCTCAGAATTGTTAGCAGACACTTTTCATGGTCAGGGTTTAAAAAAAGATATATATATATATATATATATATATTAAATATATATATATATATATATATATATATATATATATATATATATTATATTCCAAAGCCCAAAAAGCAAAATTTCAAACAAAAATGATTTCAAAGAGATAAAGGGACAGAGAGGAGTGACAGGAAGAGAGAAATGAAAAATAGAGGGACAGAGGCATTATTTACCCCGTTCTAGCTTCACGTCTGAGGCCCATGAAAGGAAGGAAGGATGAAAAGAGATGGGGGAAAAAAGTATAGTTATGGAAAAAGAGGGATGGTGAGTTGACGGTACACAGATGACATGGAGTGAAAAGGGAATTATTCATGGCCAATATCATAATCTGTTTATTGACATCATATTAGACTAGATTATTACATCTGGAGAGGGAAAGAGTGTATGACAATATGATTACAATTAATTTTTTCAACTGATAAATTTGGTCAACAAATGATGTGCATTTCCATGTTAGAATGACCAGACATGTATGATTACAGATGGATGACTGAATACTTAGATGACGAATCCCATTTTGGCCTCAAGTTTTGGAGCCAAACAAGACAGTCTACATGTTTATGGATTCAACAATCTCTATATGCTATAGTTGCAAATTACATTTGATAAGACTTAACTGATCTTCCTTTCGACAATATATTGGTATTAATCTTGATGAAAAAGATTCTAGATCATTCATATCACTTACTTGTTCCCTCCTCTGACACCATACCTAGACCCTCTGCTTTATTCTGCCTCTCAAAGGCGTTCAGGTCCAAAACACTGCAAAAGAGGCACAGACACTGATTTAATGAATCATTTAACTAATATCATTGTGAGATGACGACAGCTCCCAGTCAGAATATACCTGCAGGTCTGCATTAGAGCCTGGACACTGAGGAAGAAACCCACATCCTTCTTGTCTTTCAGATAGTCCAGCATTTTCTGCAAGTAAATTACCAGTGCTGTTACATCTGAGTATTAGTTTAGGGTCAGATTCACAGATTCATGTCTCCATGCAGATGACTGCTAACAAACCTGTTGGACCTCACTATTCCCGCCATTTAGAATAGAAATACCCAGTTTTAGGGTGGAAGAGACCATGCAACCAGTCTCACCTGTACAAAAAGAAAATGATTTTAAAGATCCACTGAAGCGCTTTAAAACGTGCAGCATTATTCTATATGTTGACGTAATTTCAACCGATTTCAGCTGCAGCTTCAGCGCCTATTTATAGTGTGTGTGTGTGTGTGTGGGTGGGGGGGGGGGTGCTTTGG